ATGAATATGTAATTTCTCTTACATTTTAATAACTACTATAATTTCATTGAAAACATTTCTCACCACCGACTCCAGATTTCGGCGAATGAATTCCCACAGTCGATGACTCCGTAGATAAAAATGCCACATCATTTATGAACAAAACCGAAACTTACAAAAAACCATATATAAAAACCTATCTAATGAAACTTAAACAACGGATATTAACTTAATTAAGGTTATTTTCATATTGATAAATCGTTTAATACAAATATAAATACTATAAATATATAATTATATCAAGTTTTGACATACGATATAAAAACATGAAATTTTCCATTTCATTATTAATTGGTGTCATTAGAAGAATCCACTAAACCAACAATCGAAAAAAATACACACAAACATAATGATCCCGGCCCCGCGCTTGCGCGGGGAATATGCAACTAGTTCTAGTAATAATCTAACTTTTCTTATACATTCTAGTAATTTTCTTTAATATATACTCCATCAATAAGAATATTTTGAGACTCAATATTATTATGTTGAGACGTGGTGCTTAAAAGTCAAGTGTACGTCGCCGAACATTTGAAAAACTACCGGTACCAGTTATGGACCTTTTCTTTTTCTTCTTTTCTTCTGCTTTCTTTAGAGTCAAGAAAGTAAATGATAAAGGTAACGCATGCGTGATATTATATACGACTATATATATGAAAGAAATATCCAAACTTTGTTTGTTAGTAGAATTAAGGAAAATGAAAGCTGTGGTGAGTAAATTGCATTGTTCTTCGATGGAGGAGGTGATGGTGGTGAGACGGAGGCCACATGTGGTTAACGGCGGTGGCTTCGTCGTCACAGATTGTAGAGAGAAGATTATTTTCAAGATTGACGGTTGTGGAGTTATTGGTATCAGTGGAGAGTTAGTTCTTAGAGATGGTGATGGTAATAATTTGCTTCTCATCCATAAAAAGGTAATGCTAAACTTTCAACTTTTTCCTATGATATGAAAGCTCGATTATAGACCAACCAAATGATTAAGTTATGTCTTTAAGTGAATTTAATGATAGAGTAGATTATAAGCTTTTGAAAGAAAAGTAATAGTTATAGTTGTGCAAGAGCTATCTAAACAACGATTAGTGTCTAGTGGAAATGTATTTATGTTTTATTAAGCCGATATGTGTTTTCTCAGCCTCTAGTTCTAGGTCTTACATGCACATATCACATATGTACTACATTTCTGTATTTTCCACCTACGTAACGTCCGAACGGAGAAACAACTTTTATAGATTACTTCTGATAACTGTTAGGTGTGACTTTTATATAAATAAAACTGATGTTATTACAAAACAAATTCAATCGTTTTTGGTAGAATGTTATTATAGATTATCGTTGTCTTTAAGTCTATTGAAAATGAAGTTCAAAATCAATAAAATAGCAATATACTACATGGAAAAATTGTATAATATTAAGGGACCTATCACATAAACTTTTTGTTTGTTAGGCACGCCTTTGTACACCATCCCTCTTAACGATATACACGAATCGATGTGTTAAAGAAGTGGTGCGTCAAGTTAAAGCAACCCTCTAAATAGATATTCCATTGGAAGGAAAAAAGTTGATTTGGGTGTCGTAGAATCTTGTGTATATATGACAACTCTCATGTGTTTGAGTGGTGTAGGGAGGAATGGTGCAGGCTCTAAGCATTCATAACAAGTGGAGAGGCTATAGTTACGACTATCAAGGAAGCCCTAAACCGGTTTTCACATTTAGAGATCCTAAGCAATATTGTTTCTCCATTACCGGATACATCCGCATCTCCGTCCAACAGGGGAGCTGCTACTTTGATGTGAGAGGGTATTTCCCGGATAGGGATTGTAACATCGTGGATTCAACCGGAAATATCATTGCTCAGGTAAAAGATTGGAGTGGGAGCAAAGATATATACTCGGTGGTGATAAAAGCAAATGTTGATAAAGCTTTTGTTTTCGGAGTAATCGCCGTTCTTGACTATATCTATGGCGAATCTACAAGCTGTTGATCAGTTATCACTTTCTGACTATCATCATCAATACGCAACTTACTCTTGCAGGACGGTTTGAAGGCAACATGTCGATTTTATTAAATAAGTACTCGACTCTGTAATTACTTTTACATAATCAACTTATGCTAGCACTTGACTCTTCTGTTTTCTAATAGTTCAAAATCAATATTAAGGTGTCATAATTAAACCTTTTACTCTTCCCCCTATGGTTTGGTCATTGGAACTCTTACATGCAAATAATTTAAAGAGGACTTGAGAAAGCAGATGGTTCAAATGGAAACAACAAGATTCATAACACTGATGGAAACAAGTTTATCTGAGATGTGAAGATTCTTAGAAAGATTTGAAGCAAAGGGAAGAGATTGCAAAGTCTGATTCAAAGAGATCAGTCGCGTTCGCTAATGGCCGTCAAATGCTCCTCGATCTCCTCCGTTTCAAGCGAACGGAAGATGGGGTTATCAGCTCTCACAACTCCAACCTGCGAAACCAAAACAAAGCCAAGAACATGACTTTCACAAGTTTAACAAAAAATTCATTGACATGACGTAGAATGCAGCTCTTCTATTCCTAATGAATACAAAGAAAGGAGTAGACAGAGTGAGTGATAATTGATACCTCAATCTCAGTTGCCTTGAAGTCTTCTTGAAGAACTGATTGCAGAGCGGATATGGCAGTCTACAAAAGTATTGAGGATAACTCAAAAGTCAGAAATAATCAACCAAACCATAACTAAAAAGAGATCGGCAGTCACTTTTACCTGCACTGTTTCATCATAAGTGAAGGCAGGGTTTTCTTTCATTTTCTTCTCCAAGAAATTGATTGCTTCTTGCTCTTTCATACCTGCACTAGTTGCCTGCATCATATGTTTGCTTACTTATTAGTTGAGACACCATAATATAAGAAAAACATCTAACACTGTAGCCTCCTAAAATCGTGGGTACATTGTCTAGAAGTAACATATCTACCATGTATGTAACTAAATCATGTTTTCCATGTGATGTTTCACTTCCATAGGTCAACCAATAACAGCAACAACAAAAAAACTCTCTCCTCGTTCTTAACAAACAGAAATTACGTAAACATAATATACATTTATAGCTCCTCTCAGTACAATCCATGGTTAGATACAAACAATTCTAGATGTGAGACAGAAGATTATGTTGATAGGAGTAGTCAAGATTATGTTGATAGGGAAAAATCCTCTCAGTACAATCTACATTTCAGTAATAATGTTGATAGGAGTAGTCAAGATATCAAATATGCGTGAAAGATGAAAGGCAGAAGATTATGTTTAACCATGAGATGTAGAGTGGCACTACCTTGTGACCGTAAAAGTGTCCAGCTGGGTCACACTTGTAAAGCAGGGGTCCTCTCTCTTCATCAATACCCAGTACCATGGCAACTACAGAAACACAAAAGGAAACAAGAATGAGTCCTCTTCATCTCTAGTTAGATATGCATTAACAGGGGAGAAACTTGCCTACACCAAGAGGTCTCATGTAAGCATGTTGAGTGTAGACCTGTGACTTGTCTGCAATCCTGTAAGCACAAACGTTCATGGTTAGTAACTGTCATGCGTAGAGGAAGATAGAGTAATAACACAATAACAATAAACTAAGAGAGAGAGAGAGAGAGAGAGAGAGAGAGAGTAAACCATCTAGCAAGGATGTCGGCAGGCATCTCGTATCCGTATTGGAACCTGAACTCAGCCGCTTCATTCCTTGCTTGTGTGACCAAGGACCTTGAATCAGCTGCAACATTCAATTAAATAGTTACAAATATTAGACAAAACACCCAAAATAAAAAAAATCTACAATCAAGTGTAGATATAGATAGATACAAACCTGTCATTCCAGTGGCTAACAAGCCAACGTACTTGGTGACAGGGAAAAGGTGAGATACGCTCGACTGATCTAGAAGCTTGTCCTGCACATTTTACAAACAAACAAAACCGAAACTTGCGTTGATAAAATATAAGAGTGAGTCAAAATCCCAAATTTATAAGATCGATCCCCAAATCATAGATCTACGACCTAATAATACAAGAAGCAAGCTTTTTTCGCAGTTCAAGGAAAGGGAACTCACGGGAACTTTCTTCTGGGTAACGACGCAAACTGAATCTTTTCCTCTAACACCGATGGAAGTGATTCCAGCTGCTTTGACGGCTTTGAATGCATATTCGACTTGGAAGAGACGACCTTCCGGAGAGAAGATTGTGATGTGACGATCGTATCCTGCGCCGCTTCCTCTGCTCATCTTTTCTTTTCTTTTTTTCTCAACCTAGATTCACTCAACCCTTTGCTTCTTTGTTGTTCTGCGATCTATTAAAGACGAGGAATAGAAGAAAACTTTGCCTTCAAGACAGATATATGTATACCCGAGGTTCCAAAAATACCCTTGAAGTAAAACTAATTACATTTTTGATACTTTGTTTTGTCAATGTCATAACTCTTCTTTTACCATAACACATCTTTTATCAAGCTTTCAAAATTTTGAAAAATAAAATCAAGTAATTTATCTTATTTGCAAATAACCCTCAAACATGTTCTTATTTTTATTTTCAATTTTTTTTTGTCAAAAAATAATTATATTACTCAAACTTAAGTTGGTCCGGGAAATCAGACTCGAAGAGAACAACCAACGTAGTACATGTTCCTATGAAAAGATCTTAGCTAAGGAATCTGACGATATATTTTCGAGGAATATATAAACTTGAAAACTTCAAACATTTTTTTATTTTATATTATCTATTCTTAAGTAATTGTTTATATTACATTTTATATTATTTCTGGACGGACAAATCAAAACACAAGAGAAAAAAGATTTTGGACTCTTATTTTTCTTACTTTTATTTATTTAGATTAGTTTTTTATTAATCATGTATGAGTAAACAACATGTTATATTTATAGTTCTTCGAGACTTATTGAACTGTTAATGTTATCTTATATTCTTCATCTTGATTGCTTTTGATGTCAAATTTGGATTGACAACCTGAAAGCTAGAACTTAGGAATCTAAACACTTATGAGCTAAATACCTATCACCAAAGATAGGATTTAGTGAACTTATCAAACCCGATCTTAATGTTTTTCTAAACTAATTGAATCCGCAAAATGTTTTCGATCCTAAGAATTAGATATAGATTAACTCTGCCACAAAAGTTGATTGATTTGATTGTTGTGATTAGAATTCTAGAATTGTTCTTCATACATCCTTGACATTCTTTGATCTAGAATTATGATTTACTTACGAGTTTTCCTTAGTCTAGCGCCTTATCCCATCTGTCTCACAACTTTTTCATTTATTGTTTTACTGCATTACAATTTAACTATCTAGTTTAATTCGAAAACCATAATTCTATTGTGTGATCTGAGTCTTTGTGGATTTGATCCATAAGTGTTACATTGTATCTCTGAAATTGTAGTTCATAGGACAAATTTGAGCATATCAAATTTTGGCGCCGTTGTCGGGGGCTCTTTGATTTACCATTATACTAGGTGTTCAATTTAGACTAATTTTTTTTCTATTTTTTTTTCTTTTTTAAATGCATCCATCGTAGTATCAGAAGCAACAATGAAATAAAACTTTGAATCTTTCAAATCAGGAGCTACTTGAGTAAAAACGCACGAACCAAAAAGCTAGGAAGTTGGTATCGACCGATACATAGGGAGTATCGATTAACTACAACTGGAAAGGAGTTTCGAGTGACACCTTACTCATGACGATCACCCCCGTTCGACCAAATACGTCTACAAAGATGGTTAATCTAATTTTGTTATTGGCTGATGAACATGGAGCTCTACAAAACCAAGAGTGATGTTATCCTGACCAGCTCAACCATCAACCATGACAAGATAGGCGATCCAACCATCGAACCAGTTTAAATATCAAGCAAGGTGATATGGGCAACCCGAGAGTTCAATCAAGAAAGATTGAAATGGAACTAAATTTTCATGAGCTCAAATGGTTCAACTATAGTCACTTTACTCTTCCAAGAAGTCAAGAAGCAGAAATCAGTCGAGCTAGATCAAGTCTAGAATGAGCTAACTTGAAAGATGGTCAATACTTCATGATTTTAAACCATTTTTCTGTAAGGGTTCACCCGGTAAATTACTGAGCCTTTTATTGGTTTATGGTGAACCAAGTCTATTTCTTATCAGCTATAAGGCATGTTCATAAGATAAACTACTGAGAAATATTAAGGTGTACCAATTGGACGAGTTGATTTTTTATGATTGGACTTTGACCGAAAAGAAGGTCCAAACATTTATTCTTCGTGTTAGATGGTCTACAAATTTGGTCAAGAAATAAACAAGAGTTTCTCGACCAATCAGAGCCAAAGTCGCAGCCTTGGTGAAAACCGTGTGAAAACCAAAATTTAGTTTTCATTCAAACACATTATTGAGTGTTTGTTCATGTTTTCTATGTCTTTGTTTCCAGCACTTTATTTTCATTTTCTCCAGTCTGTAAACTCTTAAAAAGTTCCAAGTAACCATAAATAAACCAGACTGTTTTTTTCTGTTAAATCTTAGTGTTGTTTGAGAGTGATTCTCAATTGTTCCATGTAACAATCCGATTGTTTGGTGAGTAGTAACCTTACAATCAAAAATAGCTTATCAAGATATCTCCATCCTATATTATGGTGCCATTAGACCAGGTGAAGATCAAATGAGCATCCTAAATTAGGGTTTGGGTTTTGGTTTCATATACCTGAGGTTTAATCCACATGCCTTCTTCAATCCTAAGCTCACCACCTTGTTTCCTTTGAAGATCATCTTAAGTGCAGTCTGTGTTGGGTTTAAAATACCCAAGGTCTTTGCTCTACGACCGGGTCAAGGATTATTCAATACTATCATTGAGAGCATTAAATGACAACATATTGCCTATGGTTGCATCAAAGAGGTTCATGCGGATAATGAGGTTGGCAAGGAGATTGATGATGTTGGGAATGTAACTGCGAGATAGTGGTTGATGAGAATTTTGAAGCTTTTCATCAAAGAATAATTGGATATTACAAAAGACTGGATCATTTATATGCTAACAGGTCTATGATTCAACCTCCACCTCTAGAGGAATGTCTTTGAGTTGAAACTCGTGTACCTTTTTCATGGTTTTCCTCATATAGAACATTTTGAGAGGTTTGAGGATCTAACAGTCTCAGAAAATTACTTTTTTGCAAGTTGTTATCCTATTCATATTTTTTTTTCTAGGGATGCAACTTAGTAGCTCAAGCAACTGCAACCAGGATCTTTGACTTCCTACAATGACACCAAGAATATTTTTTTTGAAAAATTTGAGATCTGAGAAGCTGAGAAACAATATCTTCATATTTTCTCAAGGTTCTACTAAGGAATTTAAGATATTCTGAGTCAGATTTAGAGCTTACCAAAGAGACAGTATGCACCATGCTTTTAGTGAAGTTCAGTTGTTGGGCATCTTCTTCAAAGGTATTAACTTGAGGTATCAGATGGTTTTAGCTGATGCAAGTAAAGGAAACTAAAACACTGATGAGATTGTAGTGTCTAGTAATAACCAAAAAAGCATATCTTGGTTGGATGAAATCACTAATAATACTGTTTATTCTAATATTAATAAAACAAATAAATTACATAAGAACATATCTAAATATTATAATCACTAATAATACTATTCTTGCAAGTAAAAGAAGAAGATAGAAGAAAATAAACCACACTAACTTAGGTCATGTTTATATAATATTGTGATTGATATTTTTTTGAATTATCAAATAAAGTTTACACTTAAATGTTGTATAATAATTAGTTAAAAGTTTGAATATTTTTTAAAAAAATATTATAAAATATTTGACTAGCACACAATTAGATAGAATAATAGTTTCAAACAAAAAAGAAAACTCAAAATATTGCTATAATTTAGGAACTGGAACCATAAATAATAATACTTAAAATTTATAAAGAAAACAAAAAAAATCAATAAACATAACTCGACACACGTAAGTATTGAAAACTTATTATTTTATTTATAGAGAAAAATCAATTAAATTTGTGTCGACTTGTAAAACATTAAATTTTGGTTAATGTTAGGTTAAGTTTTGAGTTCACAATTTTATAAAGGGAGTAAGTCAAATTTGTAACTTAACTCCAGCATATGTTAAATCAAGATTTAAATAAAAAATTCAAGTTTAATGCATTATTGGACATTTTTGTTAGCTATCAATGATTTATAGTCATAACTCAATGAAAATCAACTACACCACATGTCACTAATCAAACCTTAAAGAAAAATGTCTCTAGTTATATTATCTACCACTAGTGGTGTGGCCGCGCTACGCGCGGATTCTTTGATATATGTGTTATTTAAATTTATGAATTATTTTGTTAGTTGTTTGTGTAATTTGATATTGCAAATTTTGTTTTTGCAAATGGATGGACAGTCAACGGTTTAAATGTTAAATTCTTGTAAAAGCAATTGTCTTAAGTATTCAGCTAGTGTTAGGATGATTGCATCACATGTCGGGTTGTAGTTTTTGATGATCACTGACGATTACACAACTCCATAAATGATATATCATTGTATGTTTTGAATGATTGTTTAAAATTTGATAGTAGTTGATATGCGTTCATTTTGTAACTTATCTTACTATATTAAAAGGAGGATATACTTCCCTCTCCTTAAGCCACGTCAGACTTTATATTCCTCCAATAGAATCTGTGTTTTCATCCAACTCAGCATGTTCATTGCTTTCGAGTAGGCTTCAGTTTTTTGTTTCGTCGAGATGGACCGTCGTTACACTTAACTAAGAGACCAGTTTAGTTGTCTTGCAAATTGGCCCGTATGAGCAGCACCATCACGTAAAGTGTTGTTCTTCGTCGCTTCCTCTTCTCTTTTGTTGTTCTTCGTATTCTCTTCCTTTTCCTCTTTCTCACATATAATCATCTGCCTCTATACTCCAAGAAATCACCAAGAACTGTAACGCCTCCTCTCCTCCTCTGTCTCTCTTCTCCGTGAAGTAACTAAGCACCGTGATGTCTTCACTCGTGTTTCGTGATGGCTCTGCTCCTTTCCGCCTATCTTTCTCTGCGTCTCTACACTTTTCCAACTCTCTCTCACTCTCCACGTCTGTTTTTATTTTTCTTTCACCTATCTCTGCTCATGTCTCTCATTCTCCAGTACCAGGGCTATCAATAGTAACAAATCCACTCCTTTTTAAATCTACAAATATTTAACTTTCTCATCATCTCTCTTCTGTGTGGCTTTGATTTTGTTGCAGGCTGAAGAACCGAAGGGTGAAGACTGACGACGGACAGTGGACTTTGATTTTATTGCAGTGTAAGGGCTACGGTTCAAACCATTGTCAATTTTGCAGGTTATATTGTAGATAGTAAAAACTATGTATGAATCTTGATTATTCAATATTTTTAAAAATGAGAACTTTGTTGTTCATTGGATGTAGGTTAGAAGGTGGGATGTAATCAGGTTAAGAGCGTTGGATTTTCGACTGATGGGATTGTGACAATACCTACCATGAGGAAACTGAATCGCATATGGGTCACTCTGAGAATGCACTTTGAAATCTACAGGTATCCAGCTTGGTATTGTTTTTTTTTCTTTTTGCTGTGTATGTTTTGATGACATCAAATGAGTTGCAGCGGTGATGTGGTTGCGATAGAGACATGGTGTCAGAGAGAAGGAAGGATAGGGACAAGGCGTGATTGGATTCTGCTAACGGTGAAGCCACTGGCCGGGCTACTAGGTTTCCTTCTCATCATTGTTTGCTTTCTCCATTGGTTTGTGCAATGAAATTAAATTTTCTTATGTTAAAGATATAAGTTTCAGTCATTTGGATTTACGGGACTGTCCTGATTAGTTGTACCTATGTGTTACCACCAGTTCCAGAAAGTGGGTGATGATGAACCAAGACACAAGACGGCTACATAAAGATTCTGATGATGTTTGGGACTTTGATGCTCTGTCCTAAAGAACCCAGGTAAAAGGAACTTTGTGTCAATGCAATGCTTGCTGGTCAATCATATGGTTATATTCATGAAATGCCAACTATTCTGTTTTATGTATATCTCTGTAGAATAGCATTCCCGAGGAGGAAAATAACAGAAGTTTGAAGAAAATCCCCAAACTCGAAGATCCGGCCAAGTACTTAATCATTGGACTTAAGGTATAAAATAGAACAATAAGATTCTTAGTAGGAATCAACATACCTAAAGGACTTTATAATCATGTTTCTTTGCAGCTAAGACTAGCTGATCTCGACATGAACCATATGTCAATAATGTCACCTATATTAGATGGCTTCTTGAGGTTAGTGTCATCATCGGGTTTTTTTAAAATAGGTTCTGTTTGTTCATGTAATGATTGACTATGTCTTTTCTTTCCGCAGTTGATTGGGAGTACTCCATTGGTTTATCTGAACAATGTTGCTGAATGGTACGGCCGTGGAATGGCTGTCTCTCCCTGGATCACTC